TTTTTTTTTTTTTTTTTTTTTTTTTTTTTTTTTTTTTTTTTTTTTTTTTTACTGATAAAGCTATCATCGGCTGCATAAAGAAGCTCCTTGGCAAGAAGAATATCATATTTCCTCCGAAGAGCAGACAAGAAGGAAGGATGATGGAGTTCTCCCGTCTTTTCGCCGTCATCGTGAGTTTCAACCTCATCGATCAGTTCCCGATGCGTGTCGATGTTGCTGGTTTTTTGGTTTTTTTTTTCTTCTTTCTTTACTGAAATTTCGCTTTCGAATCCATGTCGCATAAATGTTCAAGGGGGAAATTTTTTTGCAGGTGAGTGCCCTGGCCTTGCTGATGCTTCGCATGACCGTCGGTCATCCGCTCGAGACCGGGCAGTCGAGCATTCGAGCGGAGCGGAGCGCGTGAGTCATTTATCGATAACATTATCGAATCATACGAGGGCCAATCGAAAATTTCTAGGACTGGATCGACTTGAATCTGGATCGACTCTTTGATTCTTAGACGTGCAGATGCCGATTCTCGCGGGGATCGTCTTCTGCATGGGAAAATATATATAGCTTACCTTTTTCTCGAAAATTCCAAATTTTTATGGTCTCTTTGATTCCCTTAGTGAAAACGAGTAGGGCATTTCGCAGAACAAAATTGAAAATCCAGAGAGCCGTGAAATTTTGAGTGGACTGGGGAAACGGGCCAGAGAAACTTACGGTGTTCCGTGTGCTGCTACTTACGAAGAAGATTCTCCACTCCATTCCACAATATTCTACAAACACGCGACCGGTTCATAGAAGGCAGGTCATCGTGGATGACCAGTCAGTCCGGCCATCAATCGGTCAAGGTCAGTAGAGGAGAGGAACGAATTCCCAAGTCATTCGGGAGACGAGAAGAATAAATCGCGAGAACTAGGACATCTCAGGATCGAAGCAGTCTTCGCCAGGTTCCAAGCATCGACCGATGCCAACGATTGACTCGACTTTGGGGTGACCCCCGACAAAGCTTATCCTGAACCATTTGCGCCACTCGAACGTCTTAGATGGTCGCAGAGCATTTTCCCACATGCCCCCAAGATTTGATGGTGAATCGGAATTTGAAGAAATTCCCCGCTCGTTTCCGTCGGTAGCGGGGTTCAAAGAGGTCAGGCAAATGTATTAGGGAAACTTTGAATGAAAAGAAATGAAGTAAAAAGATTTTTCCATGCATTTCCTCAAGTACAAGATCTCCAAAGGAACTGCCTTCTGTGTCTCAAGCAATGTAGGAGTCATAGAAGTTCTGGAAATTTTTTGACTGGCTTTTGAGGGTTCTTTTGGGGCTGAAGGATTTTGCTTACCAATACACAAAATATTGGATTTTTATCCTTCACTTTTCCAAGTACTTCCTAGTATTGCAGTCGACGATGTATGAGCATCATCAAGTGCAATTATTAATGTCTCCAGATTCCTGATCCCCATTCCTAAAAAAAAAATACTTCTTCCATTCTCGCCCGTGTCTCCCTTTGGTTTTCAGCGCACGACTCGTTCGCCTTTCGATACTTAACGGTGCCCTTTTTCCACAGGATCGCAGGCGCTAGGGCGCATCCGGACGCTTGGGCACATCCGAGCGCTTGGGCGCACCCGGACGCTGGGCCGTTAGCGGATGCGGAGGCGGACCCGTCCGGTCTGTACAGCGACCCGCCGGGAGGGAGGAGGAGGCATAACTTCGGCAATAATCGGAATCATGGGATACGGACCGCTGATCATCTGGGAGGATTCGGCCGTCGTCGTTGAGGGGAACGAGTTCCGCTCTCGAGCCTCTTCGCGTAGTGATTCTTCGTAGTCGCCTCATCGGCGTCGCTTCAAGATTTCCGCGAAATAAATAAATGCACAATAAAAAGGATGTGGACGTCCATTCCAAATATTTGTCGTTTCTTTCCATCATCTTTTTCCTTCTCGCATTTCAGCCTTCTTAAAAACGTTCTCTTTCCATCAACCGTAAAGTAATTTGGGGAATATGGCCCTAAAAAATTAAACCTGACCCTAACTGCCTATCGATTTCGAATTTGACTTGCCAATGTATTGAAAATATTGATGGATATCTTCTTTGCCCAGTCCCAGCAAGGTACTTGCAGAAAAGGACATGGATGCTGCGCATTTGGATCCTTTCAAAGTTGGCCCCAAGAGGTCATATTATCCTTATTGTTGGGGAAATATGGCCAGGCATTAAGGGTAATACGGCCACTTCTAAAAAAAAAAACAACCCAAGGTTTGTAAGATACGTGTGAAATATACTCGAACATACTAAATAACATGAAACACAACGAACGAGGTTAAGGAGTTGAAAACTACATTAACTGTATGGAGGAAAAGCAAAGAAGTCAGAATCATTATGGACAAATGACCTGACTCCAGGAGCTGCTGTGGTAAAACTGGTTTAAAACGCTTTTGGCGATGAGCAGCATTGTATGCGATATGAAGACGGTATCTAGAGACTGTGGGGGTAAGAGGAGTGAGTACCCAGAGATCTAAGTGAACATTCGCTACGAGTGTGAACAAATAGGTCCAATGGCGCAGGGAGAACGTCGTGTAGTACGTACATAATAATAAAGTCAAAGGATGACATTTTAGTCTTTTACAGGAAGGGTATTTACCAGCACTCAAATATCTCGCCAAAAAATGTATGGAGTACATACAGAGGATGACCAGAAAGCGTTGCATGAGGCATATCATGAGGATGTTCAATGTATCTCAGGACATCCGAAGTTGATATCCAGCGGATGTGCATAGGATGATTTCTTGTTGCCTGAGACTCCCATTAACAATGAATGAATGAACATAAACACTGCCGATAGGTCAGAGCATTGCTTCCATGATATCAAGGTAGTGTCCATATTACCCCTATTCGAGATGGCCACATTCCCCCATGTTGGCTTTGGTGACAAAGTCGGCAACACTGGCTACAAACCGCAAGTGGAAGCGCTAACGCTTTCCTCAAGCACACTGGAGGAATAACTAGAATAATTTTGAACAAATAGTTTCTGAATCCATGCTGCTACAAGGAAACAAACGCATAAGTTGTTTAATGCTGAAATTGGTTTCTGTGTCATGAGTTGAGGAATCACATCCATATACCTTTCAAAACATCGATTTAGCCCGTATTCTTGTACGCACTGGATTAATGCATAGGGCATAACATTTCAACTATTACATTTACTATTCAAACGACCTATTTTGAATATTCCCCAAACTAATTATTCAGTCTGTCAAGGGATATATTATGAAGGGTCATATTACCCCAATGGCCATATTCCCCCCAAGTTAGCCCTACCCACTTTTGAAAGGATTTGGTTATAAAATTCGTATTTCGCACATTCGAAGGTGCCCAGTACCTTCCATAGAGGCTCCCGAAGAGAAAGGTGCGGGAAGAGAGTGAAAATGCGAATCCGTAAGTCCGATGCAAAAAGTAAGTATACGAGGTGAAGTACTGGTTCAAGTCCTTGACACTTGCTATTCGACAGACGTTGCTTCACGAATCAAATGGGTCTGATGCTAACTCACCTACTTTCTTGAACACACGGCTGACAATTAGTGGAAGGAAAATGGCGCCAAAGAAACGTTTTAATTTTGGAAGAACTAGAATTTTGAGAAAATAGGTACGTTTGCAAAATTTTGCCCAATTAACAATTAATTAGCATTATTATGAGTGCTCTGTTTCCGGACCTGCCTCGGCAGCAGGCGCGGGGATTCACTTGTCAAGCTGTCGAAAAAGACACATTTGAAACTTCCTGGGTCTGGGCGGATTGCGTAGGTCCCAAAGAGTGGTTCGAAGGCCTTTTCTGATGACAAAAGGGGGAATGAAATTGAAAGACTTCTCAGAGGCTCGTTTCGAGGTGGTCAAATTCAACTGTTACGTCGAGTGTGACGCAGTCGTTGCTGTTCCCGGGAATCGAGAATTTATCAACGAGACGGTGTCGCCTGATTGAGAAAATCTCCTTTAAACCAAGATGGAATGGAGAGCAAAGCGAAAATTTTTCTTCAGAAAATTTTCTTCAGCTGAATATGCGGTCAGTATTAAACTAGGCTTAAGACCACCACTCGGGTCTCTAATGCCGAACCGTGAAAGGTGTCGAGTCCAGGGGCCAGTTGCACAGCCTTAGTTAAATCAAACTTTCGCGCAAAGTCTGACTTTGGGAGCCTGTTTACTATGCTTCCTAAGTCTGACTAAACGGAAAGTTTGACTTTACTGAGGCAGTGCAACTGACCCCGGGTTTGGCACACGGCTGCGCAATCTACAATGGTCACGTCGAGTGTTCAAGTCTGATGAATGTGGATGTCATAGATGGCGCATGCGCAAAGGGATCACATTCTGATTGGCCGGCGACGGTCTGTCTCTAGACGCACGTGAAAAAAGCGAGATCATGCCTATGATGCCCTGTGGGGCGCTCCGCCCTCTCCAGGAAATGGACAAGAAGAAGTGGAGGCTCTCCACCGTTCCCCTTTAATTTTCTTTCCCATTCCTGCAGGGAAGACAGCCAGCAAGCCTGTGTTACGATCTATGGTGGGTTTTGCGAGGTAAATTTCAGGACTTATATATTTTTGTACCACCAGCTACATCACAAATAAAACTTAGAGGTTTCCTTTTTATTGTTCTTCTATTGGCAAGGCTCACGGGTAGGAAATCCCAGTGCCCACTCTTTCTCAATTTTGCGAGTGGGGCTCGGTCCAAATCTTGCGTTTTGAGAGGCTGCAAAAAAGATTCCGCGGATGATCGAAGATGCACATTTTAAACGACGGATCCTGTCCTCCGGCCTTGCTTGGTGAACGAGCCGTTCTCATTAAATTCTCATTATTCCCAAAAGAAAAGAAGAGGAATAGTTTTTTTTTTAGCCTGCCGGAAGGTGTCAACGCCGTGGATTAGATGCCACAAGGTCAAAAAGGATTTTGAAAAGGCACTATCCCGTGTTTCTAGAGGGACTATCAAAATGTTTTGAAAATTAATACAGATCGCAAAAAATTAGAATCACTGGAATTAAACAGCATGCGCCGTATGAGAACTGTCTACACTGCATTAGGGGTGATATAATCGCAAAAGTACTTCTAAAGCTTTGTATTTTTCGTTTCCTTGCAGGTTCAATCACATTTTCCTGCCGTCTCAATGGATTTTGAGTTCATGGCAACTTTTCTTTTTAAGCTGAGGAAGACTGAAAGAGACCCAAGGTTCGCTTAAAGTTGTACACGGGAATAATTCATCATTGCTTGTAACAGTGCTGCTTATAATAGTGTTGCTCTTAACAGCGTAACGGTGCTAGTAACGGTGTTAACGTTTTCGATCCGGAGTGGATGTGAATAAAACTTTTCGAGGTTTAAAACAAAAAAATTAATAACTTCGGAACGTAAAAAGACAGATCTCTTTACTAGAAATGAAGTTTAAATTCTCTATTTTATCGTAGAAAATTATTTGAAAATTTGAACGTTTTCGAAGGACGTCGATCGGATCGAAAGTGTTAAGCGATTTCGAGGTGATGGATCTTATCGTGTCACACATCGAGCGATTTCTATTGATTCATGGAGTACGGGTTCTCATATGGCACATTGAACGTACTATTTCCGGTTTTTGAGATAAGAATTCATTTTCGAAGGTTGTTGATAGATCCTCGTAAAACAGGTTTTCCGACGATAAGAGATATCAGTGGGACGAAGGACATTGCCCCGAGCTTACTGGAATTGCGAGAGATTTCCGGATCGAACTGGTTTTTTTTAAGTTCTCCAGTCTGCGCAACAACATTGACTCGTAAGTTGTTGGCAATTCTGATGCGATGGGTTGACGCTGATGGTCTAATGCACCATCAACAATTCTCAATGCTCTGTCATTGTTACATGAACGCGATCTCGAGCGAGCCATCAGGAAATTATTGGAAGTAGCCAGGTTCCCAGAACCGAGGCTAGATGGCGTCTTAATCGCCAATGCAACGATTTCCCCCGTGCATGCGATTGGCATAAATCCCCAGCACTTTTCTAGCAACACTTGATATTTTTTCCGTGGACGACAAAAGGGAAGACAATGGTACATTATTGGGTAAATTCTTGAGTACATTCCAGGAAAATGTGGCCCTGCGGATGGAGCCAGAAAAACCGCGGTCTTGTGTTTCAAAGAAAATGGGCGCTTTTACGTCCTGATACTCTAAATCTGTTTTTCCTTGAGCATCTTCATAAGGCTGCGAAGGAACTTGAGCATCTTTCGTAAAAAAAAAGAATCCTATGTAAGACTTTTTTTTAATTGCATATTGCAATATTGAAAAAAAAAAATTTTTTTTTTAACCCCATGATTCGTCGCACCTCCCAGTTTGAGAACCGCTGGGTTAACGGGAGGAATCGAATAACCTCAGCACTTTGATGTACGATCCTGGCAGATGGAAATTAAGCTTCGAAAAGTCGAGCTGGTTCATCATATCCATTTTTTTAAATGTGAATCACAACCTCGATTCCTCTCATAGGAGAATTTTCATTCATTTCATATCAGGCATTTTCATAAGTTTCATCAGGGTTTCTGGGCGAAAAATATCGCGAAATATTGCCGATGATATAATAATGTTAAATATTGGTGAAACAGGGAATAATCTCGACATAACATGAAACGGCCCTAACGAAGTGACAGCCACTATATAATTCTCCCCGAAACTCGTAGTCCGGCCCAACCAGCTCCACGTGCATTTTTGTGCTTTCAGATTTTCCTCGATGGAAAGTGGAAGTCGTCAGTCACCATTTCAAGCATCTCTGGCGGTGAAACGCCCCGAAAAGCAGCGGAAATTTACGGGAACACGCGTTCCAAAAAAGACATGCGAGTGGATGACCTTGATGATCTTGACCTTGAAACATTTTTCCCCATGCGGCTCCTTATGATCAGTCAAGCACGGATTCCCTCGTTTTCACGCACTTAAGAGATACTTTTCGCCCTGCGCTCATCATTTCGTCTCGAGTTCGCATCACCAGTGTTTCCTGTCTTCGAATGAACAGATTCAACAGCCAAAGTGTCCGGATTAAACAGATTTCAATGTTAATCGTTTAATCGGTTTATTTCGCGGAAAGGTACCTTTGGTCCCTTTATAGAGGTTCAATAGGTTTTAATCGGTTTTAGTTCTCGGTAATGGAGGGTATGTTTCAACAGCTATCATAAAATCTAAAATATACTTACAAATTATGTAAATAGGTTAAATTAATTATTAACTGTCGCTCTTGCTTTAGTGATGTGTCAAAATAAACTTTCTGATATAGGTATATAAGAATGTAATAAAGTATCCGTCAAATATATACAGTATTTTAAAAGTGAATGGGAAGTGGAGCTACTCATCTGGACCGAAAGCCTCGGAGTATGTGAGCAGGATAGAAGTGATCTAATGTTTATGAAATTGTCCAATCATAAAAAACGCACTGCTCTTTGAATTCCTTTGACGTTCATGAGACAACAGAATGCTAAAAAAAAAATTACTTTTTTTTCAATTGGTAAAAAATGTTGCTTCTACCCATCCACAATGCATGTTCAACATTCTCTTCTGTGTTTCTCCAGCCGTTTTAACCCAGAGCAATTTTACAACCGAAACTCGAAATTTATTTTTGCGTGGTGAAGATTATCGACGGGGAAGCGATTAGCACAAGCAGTTCGGTAGCAATTGCAGAATTTTCTCAGAAATTGAGCACGCCTCCTTGGATCCCCTGGTCAGTAGTACTAGGAGTCTCCTTCTGCCAGGTCCTTTTACCTCCTTAAACGGGTCTCTCTAGGAATTCCAAAGCCTTCCCTTAAGTTCCCTTAAGTACGTAGGAAAAGATTGGGTACTGTGTGAAGAATACAGGGGACTCGTTTCGATGGTATCATATCGCTAAATCGACGCTTACACTCTTAGAAAATTCCGAGCGTTTGGAGAGTAAAAAGTGAGTACACCGTGAGCTTTTCGAATTTACTCTCTTAATACTCACCAAATCCTCCCTCATCGCTCGTATTGAAGTGAACACCTTGAAGTTCTTCGCCGGGCCACTAGATGGAGATAAGGGTCTCGCTTTTCCCACAGTACACAAAAGTTCCCTTCCCTCTTTCCCTGGAATTGTCATTCGCAGGATTGTTTAGTACCTTGCCATATGTCTCGCCTAGTCTCATTATAGGAATCAATAAACACGGACACTTCATCATTTGTTATCCACATATTCAAGACGTACTCATAGAGTCAATACCATAAACAAGCTCATATTCCTATTGAGAACCCTTTTGGAACGCATATGATTTCATCCGCATAGGAGACCTAGAATATACAAAGAGTATCCGTGAGTTTCGGTCAATCAGACCTCAATGAAATGAGGTAATAAGGGACTGATATCCCCGATACTCCACGGAACCTATAAGAGGTGGTCCAACCTCTGAAGAGTACTGTAATCAGTACAGTCAGAGGTAGGTTAACGCCCTAGCGAAAGCGACGCACAATATATGTGAGAATTTTCTTATTTGCATGGCAACCCTATCACTTTCTGAGGGGAACGTTTTTACTCACAGAGGAGGAGAGCAATTTTACTCCTTGGTGATGGAGTAAATTCGCTCCTTTCCTAGAGTAAAAGGGGGGTGAAACTGGAGTTAGCTATTTTACTCTCTTTTTTGAGAAAAATCGCTCCCCTTTTTCTAAGAGTGTAGGCGCCATCTCACGCCGATTGGTAGAATATATTTTCTGCTGAGATAATGTGGATGTCTCAACATTTCAACCTTTTATCGATGTCGATACAACGTTGTCGTCCGAATGAGCAGCGAAGCTTTCAGAAGAATTCTAGTCAGTGCTGCAAGTCCGGAGGTCTGCTGTCGCGGCGAAACTGAAGAGATTAAATTCGAGTGGCCTGCGGAAAATCTCGCTTGCGGGAAGACGAATGGAAGTAAATGCATGAAAAAAAGTTTTAATTTTTTGAAGACTGGGGAAGATCTAAATCTCAAAATGGATAAATCTGCTGTCTCGTGAACACCAGAGAATTTCAAAGAGCGGCACGAGTTTTAGCTCTGCTTCTGGTTGATGGCAGCAATATTTTTCATTTCAACTTCTCGGCTATCCTGTTAGGATTGTGATTGTGTGAGCTGACCGAAGTTTATCCAACGGAACTTGCGTCCTTTCAACTTCCGCCCCCCCCCCCCCCCCCCCCCCCCCC